TTACCTTTTGACAAATTTTACGATATAATACAATTTCTTCAGGACTACACATCAAGCTTATTCTTTCTCGTTGAACTCCTGCCGTTCGACCACTTCTATGTACATATATCTATATATTTTATGAAAAAAATTACTTATCGGTCACAGATTATGTAGTGAATTAATTAAAGGATCAACGATTGCATAAAGTATAGTTTACACATACGTATATGTTTCTTAGTAAAATAGCAAAAAAACAAAATTTTTACCTTTACAAATTAATCTATTTTACTATACTAATTGAAATTAAATATCTATTTTTTACTTAACGTTAATCTGATCCAATATATTAGTTAAAGATTTACATGTATTTATATTTGAGCAAGTGTATCAATTAAGAGATCGACACCCATTCACACGGTCAAATTTACATGTAGTTTACTATAGAAAATCATCAATGCGACTTCTATCGTCATACCTTTCTGAACTAAATAGAACTTAATATCTTTCTCTAACTATTTGGTTTTATATATTATAATACTCATGGTTTTTAAAGATTCTCTAGCCAAAACAAATCAGCTTTATGAAAAATAGACCATAATTGCAATAACAATAATGATAAGATAATGATAATGACGACAATAATGATAAATAAATTATAAATTCGGTGAATAATATCAATATGTTTCAATATAATAATATTCCAAGTAAAGATGGATCCTGAAACTGATGACATAGTTTAAAAGTTTCTTCGCCTAACATTATGAATAATATAAAAAGTCAAATGATTGTACATATCATTCTAATTTTTATTCACAAGAAATCATTACTATACATACCTAAAAAAAATACATTTAAGCGCCGCTAGAAGTTTTCCATTTTTTGTCAATGAATTGCTTAAATATTTGTATAAATTCCAGGTTGATTGGCTGGCAACCTTGTTTCTGTCGTAATTAGATCCGAGTGGATGCTCCTGTATTTCATTGATTTAGTTTATTAAATTATTTTGGTTCGGCGCATTCATACCTGAGAATGATAATTATTAGAATATAGTCATGCATTTATTGAAAAAAGTGTTATAAAAGAAAAAAATCAAACCGTGATATTTTTTGTATTTTATTAAATGAGATAACAGATAGTTTTCATTGGTTTTTTTTTGAATTTTGTTAATAACGAGAATCCATTTTGTTTAATTATTTATGCTTTATTTAAATATATATTCGGTTATAATATTGTATCTAATCAAAATATTGTTAATACTGTACTGTTGATAAAAAAATTGGAAAACATATCGATATCGGCTGACCGTAAATCGCAACTTTGAATACGGTAAAAGTTCCCAAAACCAACGCAAACCTTATATGCCACATGACTGTTAGAGAAACGCAATGAATTAACGTTGTAACGATTAAATGCCACGTTTTTTTTAATCACAATAATGAATTTTTGCCTAAAGCGGGCAAACAAAACAAGACTCGAATTCTAATCCTGCACACAGGTTCTAAAAATAATGTGGCGCATAAAAATTAAGCAACCATATTCGGCACCTTTATTGCTTCTTTATAATAAAAAAAAATGACGACACCTAACGGGATCTGCGATATATCACAAAAAATAACGGTAATACATGTACATGTAGTTTTTCATCATTGAATGTTTGCGATTAATGATTGATTAACGTTAACGTTAATGATTGTGTGATGATTTACGAACTACATACGTATACATGTATATACTGAACATGTATTATATGTAGTACACATGTATACCGATCCTATTGTACATGTAATACGTACGTACGTAGTATATCAAAACTACATGTATTATTTCTCTCTTTCTCTCTCTCTCTATTATGTACATATATTATATAGAAATTGATCATCGGTTTTGTACTATAAACTACCTTGTCACTTACGTATATCAAAATTAATTATTTAAAAATGACTAATTACAAATATCTAACTGATAATGAAAGACAGATTTTACAACAATGCCCTTATCAATTAACTCTTTCGATTAACGAATTAACCAAACCAGCAGTAAAAAAACGTCATAATCCACCACGGCCACAAAATAGCTGGGTAATTTTCCGAAGAGATTATGAAGCGCATTTACGTTTATGTAATCAAAACATCAAATCAAAAGTGAAAGAAACAGCAAAGGAATGCAGTTTAAAGTGGCGAAAGTTATCAAGCGAAGTCAAGTATTTCTTCAAAATATTGGAGAAAATAGCTTGCGAGAATCATAAACGTACATATCCTAATTATAAATACAAGCCAAAACATGCAAAAAATTCAAGCCATAAAGAATTTATTTTTCGAGAACAGAAAAAATATGTATCTATTTCGCCAACTAAGTTTAGTACAATAACTTCCAATTCACCTCAAGAAACAATTCAAATCAACAGGCCGCCATCTTTAACTTCCGATTCACCTCAAGAACTAATACAAACTCAAGGACCAATACAAATCGACAGGTCGCCATCTTTAACTTCCAATTCACCTCAAGAACCAATACAAATCGACGGGCTGCCATCTTTAACACTAGCAATTTCGACAGCCATTTATAATAATCAAGACTATGCTAATAATTTTATGACAGCCATCTATAATCAACAAGATTATAGTAATGACTTTACAACCACCATTTATAATCAACAAGACTATACTAATGATTTAGCTCAAGATTCGCTCGACAACGTGTTTAATAACGATAATCAACTTCCTATTTTATTTGAAACGGAATTTTTCTTCGCTGAAAGTTACATGATTGATATCAATAATGATAATAATGATTCGATTAATACTTTCAACGCCGAACACATCTAATACTCTAATAACATCACTGATATTTTCACCTTTAACGCAACTATAACTTCTCCTTTATTTAATTTTGTTTTAGTGAATAAATAATATAGAAAAGAATCATTAATAATCCCTCGCAAATAATCTTCTGGATTTTATTTTGTATGCTTTTGCGAATTTTTATTCATTAGCTCGTTCGTTCATTATATAATTTAGCCAATGTTTTCACAGTATCGCGGTATAAAATCAATAATTTCTAGCACATTCGTCAATACTAGTGGCGCAGTCAGAATATTTGCGACGCGTGAGTAAAACGAGAACTTGACAAACTAATCGTCTCTAAAAGACCAAACATTGAACCGCGCATTTTCGAAAAAGAATTAAAGTAATATTTATTTTTAAAATAATCTTTTAGAATATTCAGTCGTGACCAAAAGTATCCGATCTCCCCCCCAAACTCATGTGTAATGCACCAAATTTTTCCGAGCACAAAGAACATTACAAATGCTGATCATTGTTACATGTACTTTTTTTATAGGTTGTTAGCGTTAGAGCTTCTATATGTTCATAAACTTTCATGCCCCAAATACAATAAATCGGTCACTTTAGGACATAATATCTCAACATCTAGTGATTAAATTTGAGTGAAAATACCACCATTTGATTTGCCTAAATTAGGAATGCGCTAAAGTGTTGTGCCTTCAAGTAATCCATCCAATGAGAATGCGCAAATTTGGTTGATCACCAATAAGAATGCATAAATTTTGATCAATCCGGCAAAACAAATCTGGAACAAGAAAATTAAAAAGGCAAATAATGTGAAAAATATGGAAAACAAATGGATAAACCTGGCTGAAAGACTAATTAAAAATATTGGGAGAACAATTTTACATATAATCTTTACTCAAGTTCTAATCCTAACCCTTATCCTGATCTTATAAAGCATTGACCAGTGATTAATCACATGGATACATGCTTTATCATATTTTCTAAATTAGACAAATCAAGTAATGATATTTTCACTCAAATTTAATTACTAGATGTTGAGATATTATGTTCTAAAATGACTGATTCATATTTGTGACCAATTTTTCATTAGAAATGATCACCAAAAAAATTAATCAGTCAATTTATCATTTGGCACTGTATATAGTATTCCCAAAATATAATACACTTTGTAATTTAAATCTGAATACTTTTCACTATCTATTTTAATTTAAACTTGAATAATATCCAGATCTTTTTTAAAGTTTTCAATATTTATTAATAGTCAATAATTAATATAATAATAATAATAATAATAATAATAATAATAATAATAATAATAATAATAATTCCCCACAGAGTGGAAAAACGCACAGATCATCCTCATACCCAAACCGCAAGAGTGGGAAGGCAATCTCGATAACACAAGACCTATCACATTGATTGAGACAGCAAGAAAAGGACTCTCACACATTCTTACAGCCAGAATATCACAAATTTGCTCAGACAACAATATCTTGCAGGGAAACAATTTTTCTGTACTAAAAAATACATCAACAATCACACCTCTTCATATTGTTAACTCTATCCTGGAAGATGCCAATGAAAAAAAGAAAGAAGCTTGGATCATTTTCCAGGATATGAAGCGCGCATACGACTCAGTCAGCTGGGAAATGCTAGAACTCGCCTTTAAAAGAATAAAAATGAATCAATCCTACATACAATTATGCAAAAATATCCATCAACAACGACAAAACAGCATTATTACTGAATATGGTAATACAGATTCATATCATGTTCTCGATGGTCTAGATCAGGGAGAAATCAATGCTCCAATCTTATGGCGTATTTTTTATGACCCCCTACTTTGCCACATCAATCAACATCACTCTCAACACGGATACACTATTTCCTCAAACTGGACTACTGACTTGACAAATTCCGCCAGCAATTCTACTTCACTCACCTTCACCAATCTCGCATATGTAGATGATACAGCTTGGATTGCCAATAATAATATATCAGCCCAGGCCATTTTAAACACCGCCACACAATTTTATAACATGTGTGATATCGATATTAATACTAGGAAAACAGAAGTAATCTGCACTAACACCAAAGCAGACATAGACAACACCCTCCTATATTTAGGACACTCTCAAAATAGATTAACTATTCTACATCCACACATGTGCACCAAATATCTAGGCCTACTTATATCTGCAGACAACTCTTTTTCTGCACAAAAACGGAAAATCAAAGCAGAAGCCAATACTCTATCAAATCTTCTAACTCGAAAAAAACTCATTGACAAGCAAATTGTCTACATCATAAATCGCGTCTTCATACCAGCTTTCGAATACAAATCACAACTATTCGTACTCTCCAAAACTGAATGCAACTCAATCACACGTCTCTTCAAAAAAGTTCTCAAAAAGAAAATACACACAGCCGCTAGCACACCAGATGGAATTCT